CTCTCTCTCTCTCTCTCTCTCTCTCTCTCTCTCTCTCTCATTTTCTCTATATCATAATATGGATAATATTTATTTCAATGTCTGTATTGACTGACAATTCCAGACAGCAAGCCTGACATTCTACATCCGTCCCTGCCAAACTACCTCAGTCTTTCCTTGAGCAAAAAGTCGTCGGAGAGTTTCATCGGCATCCTGGACCTGTTCGGCTTTGAGACAGCAGAGGTAATTACATTAAAGTTATTGATTGCTTTGTGGAGAGCAGCTTTTGATTAACCCTACCCGTACACCCTGTGGTCATTTTGTACCCCCAGGGTTGTATTCTTCACATTTTAGAATACTTCTAGAGCGAAGATCTCCTTAAAATTTTCAGTATTTCTATCTCAAAAAATCAATTTGACAGACTTCTATGCAAAACGTACGGATCGGATTAAACGAGTAAATTTTCTCTTTGGAAAGTGGTGGCACAGAGTTCCCCACGTCTTTTGGATACGATAGTAAAACACGACGTATGGATAGCGTTAATTGCTTTGTGGAGAACAGCTTTTGATTAATAATGGCTTACACTCAGTTCTCAGAAAAATAAAACTTTCTACAAACGATTACAACCTTTGGCATCGCAGAATTTCTTTAGAAAAATAAGCATTGTAAAAAAGCATGCAATGCAAATGTGTGCCAGGGCTATTTGAATACCTTAATTAAGGCCATCTTTGTAAGCCAGTAGCCATTACAAGTAAATGAAGTAAATTTTGGGACTCACTTTTCGTGCATCTAACTCTGCATTTCTCACTCACCCCACCCACTCACTCTCACCCCTCCCCTTACCCTCCCCTCTCGTATTCTTCTCGTTACTATCATTTTCTACTAATACTTCTATTTCCTCCCAATCTTTCTTCTCTACCTACTTGTTTATATTGTCCCTTTTTCCTCACTCTTCTCGTCTTCGTCATTCTCCTTCCTTGTCCTCTTTGTTATTCCCTTGCCCCTCTTCCATCTCGTCGTTGTTGTCATCCTCCTCCTCCTCACTCGTTCACTTTTTTGTAATTCCTCTCTTCCTCTTCTTCATGTTTCTTTCTCCTCCTCTTCTTCCTTCTTATCTGTTTCCCCGTTACTCCTGGGCTCCTCTCTCTTTTTCTCCTGGCACTTTCTGCTACTACTCTTCCTTCTGGCTCTTTCTTCCTTCTGTATTTCAGACTACTGCGCACATTAAACATTCTTTGGTGATCCTAAATCGATAAGAGTAGGCTTCGGTTACCACACGTGCAAAATTCAAAATAAATTCATTTCAAAACTGGAAGTAGAAACTACATGACATGTAGATTTTCTCTAGTCAGTTAAAAAAATAAAATCTTAGAGTACCTTCAAAATCGAAATTTGGCTTTCTGAAGGCAAGGAGCCCTACTAAGTAGGAAAAACGACCAAATACATAAAAACCAGTTGCACTGCAAGTTGGAAAACCAGCAGTCGACTACTCTTGAAATTTAGCAGGGGAATGCAAAGAAGATGAAGACAAAATCCAAAGTATTATAAAAAATATAAAAAAGAGTTGTTATGCAGCCCACTTAACAACAAAATATTGTTAAAGATAGAATCTATATTTGTTTGTTCTGGGTTTTAACGTCCATCATTTGCTCTAACAGTGTCCAAATATGTTGAGAGGAGGTAAAAAAGAAATTTTTAAAGGTCGCTTTCATTTAATAACTTGTTCCAGCCAAAATGTAGATCGTAGATGTTTTCGTCTCTGCACAAAATTTAAAGATATAAAAAAAAACCTCTTTTCAGTTTCTTTAAACCTTTAACTTTAAGTGCCACACCATTTCCTGTAATTCCACCTTCTGTTCTTTTGCCCCCCAGCTGAGAGGCTCGAGTTTACTACAACCACGGATCAGTTTGATGCTCTCTATTATACTATATTGATTACTGATTCTCGCTCGATCGAAGTCGTAGTGTAATCGATATTGTGTCGTGACCAGCACTGAAGCGAGCGAACACAACACGCACGTAGCCAGCCGGTCAGGACAAATGTAATGAATATATCACAGAATTGTGGGAGGTTTAGGGGACCAGTGTGCTAGTAACACGACTAGGCAAGTTGTTCTAGTGCCTGCAATCAATGGGATTTTGCCACAGAGTCTACAGGGTGATGTCACAGGCACACATGTTCGGACACATACAGAGTTGTTGTACAGTGTACAATCGTAATGCTCACCGGGAGTCGTGGTGATACCATGTCTTTTGGAAAATAACACACTTTGTTCGTAAACTCGCTGGACATCAGGTGGAAAAAATCGGGTACGTACTTCCGATTTCATTCTGGTTTTGAGTGCGTGTTCTTTCGAGCCTACATTTTTCACTTAGATTTTAGAGTAGAGAGAATTTACATGCCGGTCTAAATGTTATTTACAAATAGATACGCTTCTCTCTCTCTCTCTATCTCTCTCTCTATCTATCTCTCTCTCTCTCACACACACACACACACACACACACA